AGGGTTTAGGGTTTAGGGAAACACCAAAGACCCTAACCTAAACTATAAACCCTCGCGAGGCCATAGACCCTAAACCCTAAGCCCAAAACCCTTAGCCCTAAGCTCCAAACCCCAAGCCCTGAGCCCGTGGGAAGATTACACGATGAGAAGCTGCGCATTGCTTCGTGCACGATCCTTTGAACCCAAAACCCTGGATCCAAAATCTAAACTCACTTCGAAGCCCCCCAAGCCCCGCTACTTAAACCCCAAGCCCTTGTTTGCATCCAAGCTGCCAGCACATTGAAGAGCTCCGTCATGCTTCCTACCGAGGCCCGATCCAGAATCTGCTCTGGGACGTGACCATCCTCCTCAAACTGACGCATCTCGTCGATAGCCAGCTCACCACTTCCATCCGTATCTGCCGGCTCCGTCAATATATTTGAGGGTTTGAACTTGGCGCTTAAGGTTTGGATTTTGGGGCTTGGGGATTAGTGTTCTTAAGGGACAATAGGAGGGACTCCTACAAGGGACCATATAACCCTTGTATACCCCTTATATAGTCTCATAAAGCCCCTATACAACCCCCAGGGCCCCTTTAAAATTCCCTCCTCTAGCAAGGGTTCAGGTTTAGGGTCAGCCAACCCACTACCCTGAAATGAAGGATCAGACCTCGCACTAAAGGATCTGTTCGGCTTCTGTACGGGCTCCAAGCTACCGCGCCCTACTTCAGGAAGGGTCGTTATATAGGGTTTAGAGTTTAGGCTTCAGGGTTGAAGATTTACTGGTTCAGGGTATTGAGCTGTCAAGAAGCCTGCTCTTCTTGCTGCTATTGCTCAATCTTCCTGGCACCCGTGGTATGCAGGAGCTTGCTCCATGATAGCAACACCAAGACTCAAAGCTAGAGACATGCCAACTTGCAATAAGCCCGAAGACAAGATTGTACTAATTAACATGGCCATAGTGGTTGACTCGTAGGCGATGATTATCGGAATCAGAATGAGGATTTTATATGCAAGCGTCCCAGTAATAGTAATGATGATAGTAGCAGCACTCACCTTCTGTGAGATTCAGAAGACCCAAACCCTAAACCCTAAACTCTAAAAAACCCTATTACCCTAAACCCTAAACCACCATACGCGCCGATACTCTAAACCCTAAGACTACGAAACCCTATAACCCTAAACCCTGAGACACCACGGGCCGTTGGCCGCCTGCGCGATCAAAGAGCTCCAAGATCTCAGGGAGCATCTGCTGGGTGGTCACACTCTTCATCCGCTCCTGCTCGAATCTCGAAGCTTTCAAGATCTAGGCGTTTAGGGCTAGGGCTGAGGGCTTTAGGCTCTTAAATTTTAGGGTCAAGGGCTTCAGGGTTTTAGGGCTTAGGCTTTTGGGGGTTTAGGGTGAAGGGCTTGATTGAGGATTTTAGGATTTAGGTTTCAAGTTTGGGAGTTAAGGTTTTCATAGGCTTTGGGCCTAAACCCTAAGCCCTAAACCCTAAACCCTAAATCCTAACTTAGGGTCCGGGCCGTCGGCTTTGGGGCTTAAGGATAGGATGCTTCAGGTTTTGGGTTTTGGGCTCTAATGCTTCTGCACTAGTGAAGACTTCTGCCCCTTTTTGGGTTTAGGGCTTAGGGTTTAGGGTTTAGGGTTAGAGCTTGACTCGGGAATTTTCAATCTTAGACCAAGAGCCCCATACAGGTAAGTCAACCCTAAACCCTAAACCCCAAACCCTAAACCCTAAACCCCAAACCCTAAACCCTAGACCCCAAACCCGGAACCCCAAAACCTAAACCCTAGACCCGAAACCCTAAACCCTAAACCCCAAACCCTAAACCCCCAAACCCTAAACCCCAAACCCCAAACCCTAAACCCCAAACCCCAAACCCTAAAACCGTAAACCCTAAACCCCAAACCCTAAACCCCAAACCCTAGTCCCCAAACCCTAAACCCCAAACCCTAAACCCTAAACCCCCTAAACCCCCTAAACCCGAAACCCCGAACCCTAAACCCCAAACCCTAGTCCCCAAACCCTAAACCCCAAACCCTAAACCCGAAAACCCTAAACCCTAAACCCCAAACCACAGACGGAAAGCCTGAAGGCTTCCTCGGGGTACCAGAAAGGGCTCACAGATGGTCGTGGTATTCGGGTTTGGGGTTTAGGGTTTGGGGTTTAGGGTTTGGGGTTTGGGGTTTAGGGTTTAGGGTTTAGGGTTTAAGGTTTGGGGTTTGGGGTTATGGTTGAAGGTTTGGGGTTTAGGGTTTAAGGTTTGGGGTTTAGTGTTTAGGGTTTAGGGTTTGGGATTTAGGGTTTAAGGTTTAGGACGAAGGAAAGAAATTGTGTGTGTGTGTGTGTGCGTGGTTGAGGGCTTCAGGGAGCTTGTGAATGAGTGTAATGGATCTCGTGCCAGGGAGGCTGACAGGAGGGATACTCCGAGTCAAGGATCTACGAATCTACTAGTAGCGGCTCAAAGCGTGAGGCGTGGTTTAGAGCTCAGGGTGTTGATGCTTGGTGTGCAAGTGAGGCTTCTCTCGATCCCAACAGTCTGAGTTGGTAGAAGAGTCCTGAGTCCCTGCATCGTGAGCCTCAACCCTCAACCCTAGACCCTAAACCCTAAACCCTAAACCCAAACCCCAAACCCTAAACCCTCAAGCCTCAACCAGCTGAGCCTTTGACAGCCAGGCCTCTTGAAGGACAACTTCTGTGCTGCGACGTGCTCTCGCCACTGCTCCATGCTATACCATAAAAACCACGGCAAACCCTACAAACTCTCCACATTGACTCTCAAATAGCTGACAACCCTTGTCCCGAAACCCCCAAATCCCCAAGCGCTACACCCGAACCCCACATGCTGGAGCCCATCATCTCCTCCTCCTGCCGAAGCATGCGGGCATTTTCCAAGGTTCCTTCCACCAGCGCGGCAGTGACCTGCAACTAGCGGCACTGGAAGTGCTTGCAGTTGCCAACAGCCACCAGCATCATTGATGCTGCTACCACTACTACCATCACGACTCAAACCCATCCTCTTCTGATGTTAATGCGCTCTTCTTTCTGCCAAGACTGCGATGCCGAGGACGACAACGACGGTATCATAGTTGTGGTCATCTTGCTACTCAGCCTACGCCCTACGTATGTCGTTCCTGCGGTATGCTGACTTGCGGGCGCCGGTCTTGATGTGTCGCTCTTGCTGCGTCGTCGCCCGCTATGTTGATGCAGTTTGCCACCCTGAATTCTCGCGAGGTTGGTTGTCTTGGCCTTTTTCCTTTTGACTGATTGACTCATCTGTGTGAAAGATGACAACAGCTGCCAGAATCGCCATAATCATCACTACCATGACCATGACAACTATTATCGACATCCTTCCGTATGTCAGAACTGGTCCCGGACGAATTCAAGCCTCCGACCCCGAGAAACCCGAAAAAAAGTCTCCTTACTCTGGCTATGCTATAAAGGAGCCCAAAACCCTGTTCTGATTACGAAGGCCCTTACATTACCATACTCTGAGCCCTGAAATCTTAGGCCAGATGCGCTTTAGGCAGGCTGGCAACCACGAGACCGGTGCAGGGCTTGCTGCTGGCAGTTTAGTGTTTCAGAGCTGACGCTTCGAGAATTAGGGCACGGAAACAACATAAAACCTTCAGCTACCAAGCCCAACACAAAGGCTAATTGTCTTGAACTCGTGAAGAGGCACAAGGTTCATGACGGAGATGGAAACAATCAAGATGAGCAGGGTAAAGTAGAGCATCAGCCAGGGCTGCATCCTGAATGACAGGTCAGGCTTATCTTAGACGTTGAATGGACGATGGGCGGCGGGGCTGGGCGTGGCCTGGGAGCCCATGACTATGGCGTCTGGTCTGCAGGTGGTCACATGGGGCTTCCCTATGGCTCCCACTAGCTGCTACCGTAAAGTTTCGGCTTGTGCTTTCGAAGGGCTTTACGATAAAGCTGTAACTGCTGTAGCTTTAGTTCAAGGCTATTTTGTCGGTCTTGTGGTCTGTAGGGCTGCAGGGCTCGGCTGCAAACACTAAACCGTAAACCCTAAACCCGAAACCTTAAACCCAAAACCTTCGGCTGCCTCAAGCCAAGGGAGGAGGCAGCAGTCGACAAAAAGCGTGTCAACGACCCCGAAACCGCAGGCAAACTCAGGGATCACAGACCCCGAAGTGAAGAACTCAAGGCTCTAGCCTGCAACCCTTGTGCTCCAGGGTTTATAAGTTCAATGTTCAGGGTTTAGGGTGTAGGGTTCAGGGGTTTAGGGTTTAGGGCCTTGGGGTTTAGGTAGGGTTTAGGGGTTTGGGGTTTAGGATCTATGCACGACTCTGCAGGAAACTACAAGCTCAAGGCACGCTTCAACGTCCAAGCCACAAAAAGATAGACGTGAAGCTGGCGTCTTGTAGGGAGTGGGGTAACTTAAGGTATAATTAAACCGGAACTATAAGAGGATACTATTGCTACCTGTGATCTAACCGCTCGACTCCCTGCATAAGGGCTCGGAGGACTTTCAAAGTAGGCGAACATTGCATCATTGCCCGAATTGCCTTAATACAGAGAATTCGAATAAGGTTTTGGGGTACAAGGTACTGCAACTATCACAGGGAACCCGCAAACTGGTATTGATAAGTATTTAGGCCCCTAAACCCTAAACCCTAAACCCTAAACCCTAAACCCTAAACCCTTTTCTTGGGCGGGCTCTGGTCTCTTTGGAGCTCCGACCCACTTGCCGGGACTGTGTCCTCGGATCCTGTAGCCAAACCTTAAAGGAAAACACCAGCCCTACACCCGCAAACTCTAAACCCTCAACTCTAAACACTAAACCCTAAACTCTAAACCCTAAACCCTAAACTCTAAACCCTAAACCCTAAACCCTAAAACCCTAAAACAACGAAGCCTCACCAAGGGCAGGTAGATGGAAGCGATGGAGTCCATCGTCACAAACTGTGCCAAGGTGATCATTGCCATGCCCAGCGAGCCTCAGTAATGATAGCGCGGTTTAGGGCTTAGGGTTTAGGGTTTAGGGTTTAGGGTTTAGGGTTTAGGGTTTAGGGTTTAAGCCTTCTTCTTCTTCTTCTTGTGGACACTCGGGTCATAGGCCGTGTGTTACGGCTCGGCATGACGCGTCCCAAAATTACATGCCTAAATTCAGGAGGTGAGACGTGGGGCGCAGACTCCAGAATCTGTGTGCCTTGGTGCTAGGCCCTTCGACGCTGCTCTGACCAATGTGGTCAGTGATCCACACTACGTGAGCCGGGGCAGGGAGGAAGCCCTTGGACAGGCTGGTGAGTGGGTCGTCGTCGGAAACTGGGTCTGTCTGCCTTTCTGCCGCAGTGGGCATGTGCGGGCCGTAGGCCTGCAGAACTCGCGATGAGCGGGATCCTTTGAACTGTTTCCAGTCACCCCTTCGCAACGCAGCTGCCCGCTGACCGTCTGGTTTTTCCAGATCGGAGATTTGTGCGTGAGTGAGCGGCGCATGCAAATATAGGCAGCGGAAGAGGCAGGCCTTGGAATGCTTGAGATGGTACTGTGCCTGTTTGACGCCTGGAAAGACCTTGAGGCACGCGGAGCAGGTATTGCCGAGCGTATAGTGCCGCGTGGGCGAAAGCACGTTATGTGCCTTTGCAAGATGGGCATGCAGGTGCTTACGCAGGGGGAATGCGGCCTGGCAGAGGTAGCATGGGAACTGGTCTGTCCTGGTTCCCAAAGAGGTCGGCACCGCTGAGGTGGCTCCCAGTTTGCGCTCATTGTGCCATTTCTCAAGGTCCTCATAGAACACTTTCTCAGCTGCCTTGACCTGTCGGGGCCACCAAGTGCTGTCAAGTTCGTATGCCTCAAGGAGCGAGGCTACAGAATCGCGGGCAGCGAGAGTGTCTTTGAGTCGCGGGAGATATTGTGACACATGCTCTATATCCGCCCGGACTTGTTGCATCCATGAAGTACTGGGATGCAGCCGCCAATGGTCCCAGAGCAAGGCGGCCAGTTCACGAGGACCATGTGAGAGGAGCCTTCTCAGGAAGCTCGCCCGTGCTTTGGCGAGCGCTAGTGGTGGAGACAGGGCTCTGGCCTCCAACAGGACTCTGAAGCTGTGTACCTGTTCCGCTGCAGACCGCCTGTGGAAGAGCGCGCGCCATAGTGTCATGTAGTGTTGCTCCCAAACACGCAGCTGATATGCGGCACGGAGGAAGAGGGTGGCTGCCGAGTGTGCAAACTTAGAAACCACCAATGACCGCAAGAAGTAGGACCGCAGCTGAATGGGGATAATGCGCGTCCCGAACAAGCGACGCCGCAGTGGCTTAAGTGTTCCTGATGCCTGTGCAAACCTGTAATGCAGGTCGGGAAGAGGATCACACGTAGACACAATGATACCCCCAAGGTGTCGGTATGATTCTACCACTGGGACCCAGTAAGGTTTGTCGGCAACACTATTGTGGAGGCCAAGCACAAGCTGGCCCATGTCATCATACGTGAATGCGCTTTGCTGGTTGCCTATGACGGCTGGTGGGAAAAGAACGGCAGTCTTTTCCCTACCGTACTTGACCGTCATTCCTGCTGCTGTTGCAAAATCCACAACTGTCTCAATGGTGCGGCGAGTGCGACTTAGCAGCTCAGTAGGGTCACTCCCAGTCTGTGGCGCAACAAAGTCGTCAGCCCACGCAGGTAGTCCAAGTCTGACAGCACCAACATCCGCTAGACATCCGGGACGGTCCGGGGCAGAAGGGAGATCCGGTACAAGATCGCGGGCGTTGAGGCTGGTCTGTATGGCATGCATGAGTGCTGACAACGTGAATCCGAACATTAGGTCGGCAGTTGGGTCGCCGGGCCTGGACCCACGGGTAGTGACCGTGAGTTGCGGAAAGCCTGACAGCCTGAACCATGTGCCTCGAAATAAGTCCTGGACTACGGCGACTGCATGCGGCGTGGCACCCAACCTTGGGAGTTGTGTAACGCGCCTAAGCTGCGTGCACAATTCCTGTATTGCCTCTGCTGGCAAGCAAAGGTGGTGAAGCAGGCGGAGCAGCTCTTGGTCGCCCTCAGTGGCTGGCACGAGAGCTTGTCTCAGTACCTGGTAGAAGGCCGCCTGAAGGTCAAAGAAAGTAAGCGAGGCCGGCTTTCGTGAAGCCTTGCTCATAGCGTAAAAGGATCGGATAGCAAGCGCGGTGTGTTCGATCCCTTGGCCCGGGGCGACTCCTGCTTGGAAAGTGGGCTGGCTCGAAGTCAGGAGCGGTAAGAGTGCCTCCCTGAGGCTCCTGTGGTACAGCTTGCCTGGCACAGACGAGACAAGGATGGATCTGTAGGCATCACACCCTAGCACCTGGCCGGCCCGTTTGGCCAGGCACACTAGCTCTCCACCTCGAAAGGTAACTGGCTCTTGTGCGCGTAGGCTAGCCTTGAGGAGCACTGGTATGAGTTGTCTGGCTACCAGTGGGACATCCAGCTTAAGCAGCTCCGCCGTGATCCCGTCCGGACCGGCAGCACGCGCATTCCGGGAGGCGAGAATATGTCTTTCCAGGGCACTAAGTGTCGGTACAACTTGGATGTCTAGGGAGTGCTCGACAATGCAGTGCCTCTCGAAGGCTTTGACATAGCCCGAATCGTCAACCTTATGCCCGGCCTCCTGGGCGGCAAAATGGCTGCGCCATGCCTCTGCGCGCTCAGCAGTATTGCGGGCGAACGTGCCATCAGAGAGTTGTAGCATCGGCAGAGGCTGAATACCTTGTCTCCTGGCAGAGCGGGCCGCAGGGAAGGCCTGGCGTAGAACCCTGTAGAGAGACTTGGGATCGCCAAGGTGTCCACCCGCAACCTCCTGTGCAAGGCGGTCGAGGTAGGCAATGCGGTCTGCCGCAACAGAACGTCTAAGCATCCGAGCAAGACGCTTATAATTGGCAAGCATAGAAGCTTCCCACGCATCAGCTTCCTTAAGCCAGCGGTCAGCTATTTGGGTTTGTGCCTGTGAGAAGGCTTGACCCCTAGCATGCAGTAGGAAGGCGACAAGGACAATGAGCTGCCATTTGCGTACACGCTCACCATGGGCATCGCGGAGGGCAACCCGGATTGGCCGCCGCTCATCAACAATGTCCAGTGAATGCTGCGACAAGTATGGTCGCGTGGTTGTCCTGCTGTCGGGAGGAGAAATGCTTGAACCCACACGTTGCCAGGCCTGAACCAGTGTATGGTAGTGGGCATCGGCTGAAGCTAGCCACGTAGTGACAGGAACAGCTTCTGTCAGGAAACGGCTAGCTGTTGTTCCTCTGGCATCCGGCGTAGGGCGAAAGATCTGCTTCCTGGTACAGGTATAAGATTTGCCAGGGAGGTTCCGCACGAACTCACATGCCAGGAGGACAGGAATATGATCCTCCCGGAGCTGCATGAGTTCAACTCTGGGGCAGGTGCGTGACACAAAATGTGCATGCTGCCAATGGCGTGGAACCAAAATGTAGTCAATGCGGGACCACGTGCCGTGTGGTGAGCACCATGTGTGGTGCGGGCCGCTGTGCCACTGTGACCATGTTGCGGGGACTATGGCATCAATTTTGTGCAGAAACTCGTGGAACAGTGCACCAGCCTGTCCTTCCTGCTCGGCACCATAGTCGCCAACTAGGTCTGAGCAGACATCACCTAGCTTGGAATTGGCATCGCACATGACTATATAGTCGGCAACTTCTGGTCTGTCAAGGATGTCAGTAGCACGAAGGTTCCAGAAGGCGCGGGCCTCTTCGGCTGTCACGCTGGCAAGGGAGGGGGCGTGTATCACATAAAGTTGTAGCCGGAACCTGGGCGTCTGCACATGAACGGCGAGGTGCCTGGCGGAGGCACCAACTACTGTTACATCTGCAGGCCGGATGTAACGGATGTCGCCAGGCGCACGATATATCGGAACCTTTTTGGCAATCCATAACGAACAACCTCCTGCACCAGCGTCGGTAGATGC